CTTTCCCCAGGCATTTTTTTTTTTAGGTTTTCAATTCTTCCGGTCAAAAGTTTTTTTTTCCCCCCCCCCCCCGCCCCAATATAAGGATTTTTTCCCCGCCCCCCCCAGGAAAGCCCCAGGCTTTTTTTTGGGTTTCCCAATTTTACCTGACGGGGGGGCATTTAAGTTGGGTTCTTATGGGGTTTTCTTTTTTCCTTCTTTTTCTCCCTTTTTTGTTCTTCCAATTTTTAATTTTCCATTTGGTCGCCCCTCCCCCCCCCCTTTTTGGGGGTTTTTTTTCCACCCCGGAATTGGTTTTTTTGGTTTAAAGGGGGGGGGGGGGGGGGGGGGGCATGCAGGTTAGCGGCGGTGGGGCACTAGTCGTGCCACCTAAAGTGGCATGCAGGCATGTATTGTGTTCTTGATGTGGTCATGGATACTGCTTCTGTCACCTCCGGAAAACAAGAAGCAAGCGGCGTTGGAAAAGCCCGACCAATAAGGAAAGGTAGAAAACCTTCTTGCGGCCGAAACAAGCGGGGAACGGCTACCACGTCTCTCGCACCGCTCCGCATCAGCCCTCGAACCACAGCCTTCCTCCTCGCCAGCACCTCGATATTTCCTTTACGTATGTATCCCGTGCAGAAAAAATCCAGTCTCCATTACTTTTTCTGGCGAAACCGTTTCACAGTCCCACCCCGGTCACAAAAAACTCCTCGTTCTACTGGGGCATGGCATGCACCGCTCTCCCCCCCCTCTCGTACGCGCACACGTACCACAGCGAGGAGAATCTCCGGGTGTTCGTAGAGAAGCTCGGAGCCGAAGAGCCGCGGTGCCGTCGACCCCTCCCCGCCGCTGGCGCCGCCGGCCACCCCGGCCGCGCCTGCCTCGGGCTTCTCCGTCGTTCCGGTGATCTAAATACCCGGGTGGTGGTGGCGGTGGTGGGGGGGTACTCATGTTTAGCATGCCTAAGCGGTTAGACCATTGACCACGCGTCCTCGAGAGGACGAAGGGGGAGAGGGTTGATACAATTGGCGGGATGGGGACGGGGGGCAGTGTTCGGTTGACGTTGCTGCATCCGGGGGGGGGGTTGATTTGGCCGACCTCGACTGAGGCGTTATCTTCATTTGATCGCCCCAGAGTTCTTGGAGTATTGATTGATCGTCCCTTTTTTGACATAAAAACATCCGGAGGGAGAATCCCCCAATACCAAAAAAACAATTAAACAGGGTCACACCGGCTTAAAGTTTTGGTGTTCTGTACGTGTGTCTCGCCTCAAAATAACGTAGACAAATCGGTCGGTAGGAATGTAGGTGGGGAGGAAGAGGCGGCGGCGGAAACAAAAACACGAAACCGTCGAAGAGAAAGCGGGGACAAAGGTGGGAGTAAGGCGGCACAACATCAGTTGGAGAAAAAAATATCGCCTGGGAGGGCGAGAGAGATGATACAAACAAGCCCGTGCCACCATGAGACGTAGCTGGGGCCGAACAAACCACCGGACAGGGCAAAGCGCGGACGACGCTGCAGACACCTCAAATCGCCTTAGCCACCAAGCTCCATAAAAACACCTCGACTAGCAACGAGAGTTGGTCATTTCACAGCAACGAGCAGCGGACAACACAAAATGGGGCCGGCGAGCGGAGTGGCGGCAAAACCTTTTCGTCACGTGAAAATGAGGCACCTCGAGCGTGATGCCTTCCAGGCGCCCAAGGGCGGCGAACTTCGGGTCGGCCATCCACGGTTCGAAAGGGACGATCTCTTCGTGCTCGAAGGTAACACCATCGCCGCCGACCTCGCCACCGCCTCCCCCGCCGCCGCCGCTGCCGCCACCACCCCCGCTACTTCTCGAGGTGCGACTCCGCGAAGAGCTGCTACCCCCCCCGCTTGCGTCCGCGGAGCCCCCACGCGAAGAGCTCCCCGACATTCCTCCTCCCGCCGTGATTCCGCCGCCTCCGCTAGAGCCTGCCTTCCTGCTCCTGTCGGGGCCTTCGGGGACGTCCTGCTGCATCTTCAGTACCTGGCTTTCGACCCGAATTACCTGTTTTGTCGGAAAGCAGGGGAGGGTCGCGGTGGGGGGTCTCTCAGAGCTGCCGGTGCGTGTGTCGATCACGGAATAACACCTGCCGACCCTCCCCCGTGCTGCTCCTTCTCGTGTGGAACGTCCTAGGTTGACTGTCGTGTGTAACGGGCCCACAATCTCCTCGCGCACCAACCCACGCAGCCAATCACTACCTCTTCATGTCAGGACAGGAACTATTTCACGCGGCCAGTGCACACTCCCCCCTGTGGTGTGGGAACCAAGTGCAAAACACTGTCTTCTTTCCCTTGGGATATTCTCGCGTCTCACGGTGCGCGCTTCATTCGTTGCTACAGTCGTCCGCGCTTTAAGGACGCTCGTCTTAAGTCAACTCCCAGCTTCAACGAAAAAAAAAAACTCAGAAGCAGGGTGCCCCCCAGATGTACGTATATAGGGGGGGGGTACCGGCCTTAAAGACGCTTCCGCTTCCGCTAAGGACATTTTGAAAAAGAAAAAAGCATGGGTGTCCGTAGAGCAGGGTCGACTGTACAAACAAATCGCAATCACCACCATCATCATCATCATCGTTGTTGTGGTCATCTTCACCAACACTAACCCAGCTCGCACCTCCGCTCGGTCGAACTTCCCCCTGTCCGGCCGGGCTTTGACGAAACGCCTCCTTACGATGTTCTTGGTGGGAGGGGTCAGGCCATCCGGATACAGGCGCTGCGGGCCGACCCCGGAAGCGTTCCCGTCGTCCTTCTTGTAGGCGTTCTCGTCCTGGGGGGGGGAAAGGAAAAAAAACGCGAGAGAGGACGGGGGGGATTATAAAAACTGTGGCTGAGGGGTGAGGCGGGGGTACTCAAATGTGGAGGAAGGGGGGGGGGGGGGGGGGGGAAACCCATTTTTGGGGGCCTTGGGGGGTTTTCCGGGAAAAC